AGAGAGAGAGAGAGAGAGAGAGAGAGAGGTTAGGCAAGAATTTGTTAGGAGAGTATGTGCTGTGCTATGGTGTGTGTCAGACGGTGTGATTGTACTGTAGGCTTGTTTTCAAGCATCAGTTTCTCGCATACGAGTTGTTGCAGAGGTTTAGTTGTTGTGGAGAGTGCAGAACGAACAGCACCTATGCGTTACAATACCAGTGCTCTCTCTAAACACGATATAACACTGTTTTTATATGTGTTTTCACGATAAAAGTTTGTGAAAACTTTGTTATTGTGTTGTTTTGTTAAATAACATTATCATTTTGTTTACCCTATTGTGACATTACACACATCTGACACTCCACGACACCCCATCTGCCCCCTCCTGACACCCCTCCTAAGCCATCAACAGTACATTTTTGTGTACATTCAAGGCTTAGATAACCACCACTTGTTGTCAACGATATATTTGTTGCTATCAGTGATAACGTTGTGATAAATATACAGACATTATATGAAAAGTATATAATATTTAAACTAAACACTGGTTTATGTAATAAACAGTGAAATATTAGACCAAAAAACAGTTTTAAAAAGTTATTTTTTGCGTAAATAATTTCAAAACTTTTTGTTTGTTCTCCATAACTGAGTGTTGACTGTATCCGAAAGCAAATCACACCAAGATGAATCAAGCGTTACAAGTGCTGGTGGACACACTGTTGCTGCTGTACTACTGGTGCGAAGGGATTGTACTGTTTTTTGTGCCCAAACGGCTGCGATTCAAGTCGGTTGAGTCGGACATCGCGCTGATCACCGGCGGGGGAAGCGGTTTGGGTCGGCTATTGGCCCAACGATTTGCCCGATTGGGCGCCCGTGTGGTGGTGTGGGACGTGAATCAGTCGGCTCTGGACGAGACGTGTAAACTGATTAATCAGGAGCTGAATGCCGGCATAGCCGGTGGGACAGGCGGTGGTAAGCAACGGGTGTATAGCTATGTGTGCGACATATCGGACAGGGAGGTCGTGTACGCGACGGCCGATCGGGTCCGTCGCGATGTCGGCAAAGTGACCATTTTGGTCAACAACGCGGGAATAGTGTCCGGAAAGCGATTCCTGGAGACCCCCGACGACAAGATTGTCAAAACGTTTGAAGTGAACGCCATTTCACACTTTTGGGTAAATATTTTAAATACAAATTTTATTAATTTTAATTGTGTTTTTAGTAATATTTAATTTTGATTATACAATTGTAAATACAATGTTGTGTTTTGTTATTGCATCAGTTATCTTACCGTATGGTAACTTACCTGCTATGTAGATGTATTAGTTTAGTGTATGTAAGTTTTATTTACAAGATATTTTATGTATTTTTGTAATATAACCCCGTTATAATTAAATGGAAAACTACTAGTTTATTTTACTTCTATTGTATATGATATTAACACGTGATAAAAATCACCCCTAGATAAAAATAGACCAAAAATGTTTCCGTATGAATTGTCGTTTGTGTTATATTTATGGCAACAAAAAAGTTTTGTAATGCAAATACATGTAGTGTTTCCTCAATGTATTTAATAGGAATTAATTTACATAGATTTTCAATGGGAAAAATATCAATTAATGATTTATTATTAATATTATTTTAATGCAAAATATATGTATATATATTTGGGACAAAAAATATTAATTTCAATTTCAACATAGAAAAAAATATTGATTTCAAAAGTGACATATTTTGCTGTTGTGTTGCAATTGAATGATGTGTTTAGTAATACATGAAATATAGCAAACAAAATAAAGCAAAACTAAATAAAATAAAATTAAAAATGTAAAAAAAGTTGGACAACTTTCTGTATACTGTATGTAAAACATGTATTTTTGTAGTTTTAATTATTAATATGTTTTATTTGACAGTATTCTAACTTAATATGTTTTGGCAGTAAACATATGATATGCAAAAGAAGTTATGTTTAACCATAAGGTAAACATAGTATACATTATGTACAGTATATATAATTTATATATGCAATAAATAACACATCAAAAAAAATAATTGATATATTTCTCTATGAATAGTAAATATATCCTTATGTTTGCCCATGAACAAATATTAGACCATATTTACCATCATGTGACAGCTTATTATTTATTGTAACTTCACATATTTATTAAATATTTTATGTTAATTAAATACTAAAAATATGTGTTTTTGTACATTACTGTATTTATTTATTTATCACATGATTTTACACTTTTTTATAGTAAACATTTTGGAAATAGTTTAAATTTAAATAATGTAGTTTATTATTTGGCAAAGTTAACTTGTTAATGTTAGATCTCTCTCTCTCTCTCTCTCTCTCTCCTTTT